CAGTGCGGGCAATGAGCTTGTCAACGTGAGAGTCGCGGACGTAAGGTAGACAACCCCAGACGTGGAACGCAGACGCATCACAAGAAGACACTGTTCAGAGGAGGGTCGATGAAACCTGCGGTCGCTGAGAGTGCGGCCACAGGTTAAGCTGGTGAGCGGCGTAGCGAAGAGGGGGGGGCAGTAAAGTAAAATAGGCCTTAGTGCTAGCAGCTCGTAGCTAGTCTTAAGCGCGCTTATGTGAGTGGCAACATCAGCGATAGTCAGGAAGGACGCAAGATTAGGGAAGAGTAGGGGTAGGAGGAGACGGTCACAAGTAGGGAGTGGAATCGCGTGCAATGACAGCATCTAGGCACTACTTAAAGTGGGAATGCTTGGATAGGGGGAGAGCGTGACTAATAGCAAGCTGTGCAGCTGCGTTACACGAATCCCAGACACAGCGGGCGAGCTCAGCAGCTATGAAAGCCTCACGCTCAGCAAGCGTGGGGGCATCAAGGAGGGCAATAGGCGGGTCGGGGCAGGGGAGCTTACTGTCGACATGGACGACCAAGGACTGGCCATCCTGGTGTTGACCCTTCAACTGGCGGTGGAGGTCGGCGAGCCACGCCCCAAAGTCAACAGCCTAGCCTTCCGCATCCAGGCGGAGCACAGGGTCCGTCACCACCACAGCTGTAGCAGCTGAGGACCGCAAGAGGAGGAGGAGGGGGCACGCATGTGCTGTGAGGAGCGGGAATGTGCGGTGGAGCGCGGTGGAGAGCGATGGAGAGCTGTGGAGTGCGGTGGAGTATGGTAGTGCGCGGAGAGGCGCGGTGAAGCCGCAATAGAGGAGACAGCCGGCCGAGGCGCCGAGTCTGAGTGGAACCAGGGCCAGCAGCGTGGAGGGGCCGGCAAGCTAGGGCGGCACGGCGGCACGACGAGCTGGGGCGGCACGGTGGGCTGGGGCCGGCGGTGAGCTGGACGGCACGGCGAGCCGGAGCCGGGCGCGAGCTGGGGCGGCGGCAAGCGGCGGCCGCGGCGAGCTGGGAGCCGCGGCAGCTAAGGTCGTCGGCGAGCTGGGGCCGGCAGCAAGCTGGGGCTGACGGCGAGCGGAGGCCGCAGCGAGCTGGGGCCACGCGGTCAGCTGGGGCCGGCGGCGATTGGGGGCCGTGACGAGCTGAGGGCCGCGAGGCTAGCAGCAGGGCTGATTTTATCAGACTATTTTAGTCTGATTGTCTGAAATTTCAGACCTATTTTTTTGCCGATCCTGATTTTTCAGACTTGCCATTTTCTGAATGCTGAACCCTTCAGACTTATATGTTTTTGAATCCTGAGAATCTCAGACTTCGCAGTTTGCGGATACTGAGTTTTCAGAGCGCAGCGCGTACGGACCCTGAGACACACATACTAGTACTGCACCTCCCTGCCCTCACCCAAAAATTTCGTCTAAGTCCCCAAGGGCCAGAGTCAAGTCCTCTCACACACACCCCGCCCCGCAACCTAAAAAATCCGGCTAAGTCCTAGCAGCCAGAGATAGTTCCCCCCAGCACATTTCTTCCCTACTCGCCTCGCAGCCCCAGAAATTCGACCAAGTCCCCACAGACAGACACATCCCTCCCACACCTCTTGCGACCCTAAAATTTCGGCTAAGTTCCCACAGCAAGAAATATCCCTCCCTCAGCTCCCGCAACCCGGAAAAATCGACTAAGTCCCTTGCAGCCATAAAAAAAATCCTCCCACAAACCCCCGCAACCCGCAATCCTGCTTATTACCCGACTTTTGTGAAGTTCCTAAAAGGGGTAACAAGAAAATCATTCATCTGGATGGCGATTTTTTTATTTTGTTTTTCTGATTTCTCAGACGATGTGAAACTAACTCTGAAAAAACACACTCTCCACGGCTCAATTGAGTGAGTGTTGTTTTCCAACACGACACTTTCAGGTAACTTCGTGTCATTGCTGATTTTACAGTCAAAATTGCCAGTCAATCACAATTTTGATACAAAGTGTTGTGACGGTGTATCGTGTACGAACAGGCCCTGAGGGGGAGAATTCGAAAAGGAGGGGAGGGGGAATCGAGTTCGAGGGGAAAGGGGGAGGGAATCAAAACCGAGGGAAGGGGTGAAGCGAAATGGAGGGGAGGGGGGGGGGGGGGGGGGAGGGAGGGGGGAACGAAACGGAGGGGAGGGGGGTGGGGGTTCGAAACGGAGGGGAGGCGTGGAAGCGAAACGGAGGGGAGGGGGGAAGCGAAACGGAGGGGGAGGGGGGGTGGGGGGGGGGGGGGGTGGGTTCGAAAATTGAGGGGGAGGGGAGAGGATCGCGCCCCGGTTGATCGATCTTGGACGTTTATCCCTTGCAACCATCGAATGGTTAAAAAACGTCGAAACGATCGCAATCGATCGTGACCGTCACATTTTTATAGAATTTCAGTTGACCAAACGGGCAGCTGTCGAGAATTTCGCCTAATAGAAACGACTGTTATTAGAATGCGGAATTTACTCTTAGTCGAATGCAACTTAAAAAAAAACTGAAATCCTCTCTCCTAGTTGCCAAATCGGTTTTTTTTTAACACGCCCTAATGAAAAGGCAATTTTTTGCTAGGAAACTCTGATGAATCCACGTAAATTTTCTTGACGAAAAGTTGATGAATCATGGTACCCTAAAACCAGTCGTGGGGCCTGGTGTGAACACTGGAAATATAAGATTTCGACTTGGGCGCAGGACTCTGAGTCGACATTCTGAACCCTGAGTATTTCAGACTCGTTGACTTTTGGACACTGAGATTTCAGAGTAGCGAAATTTCGAAAAATGGCCCTTCAGACTCGGGAATTTTTTGGGGGGGCAAAATCAGAGTGCCTTTTTTTGAAACGTCAGCCCTGGCTAGCAGGGGCCGTCGCGTCGAGACAGGGCCGCACGACAAGCTAAGGCCGTCACGGCGCAATGGTCTAGGGTAGCGCGGTGCGGCGGACTAGGGCGGCGCGGCGCGGCAGACTAGGGCGGCTCGGTACGACAAGCTAGGGCGGGGTAGGCTACGGCAGGCTAGGGCGAAAGCACAGATGGGTGGGACCTACCTAGCGTGATACCATGTCAGAGTAGAAAAGTGAACTAAGCAAGGGCATACAGGGTGTTATATGAGTTCTGAGTTGTACTCTCTAAGAGCATGCACCTGTTTAGCCTATAACTAGACATTATAAATGTATAAGTTGACAGAAACATGTTGCGAACTCGCTAATTCTGATTGTTTATATCTTGTCACTGATCGTACATGTTAGCGAGGCCCTTAATACTGAGTGCCGATATACTTCCGCTCTGTAATAGGGTTCATCCAATCACGTGGCGGAGGTGAGTGAGTGTGTTTCGAAACGAGAGATACTGAATGTGTCTCAAACTGTTCAATAGATTCGATAGGGAATTTTTATTGCAGCTCGAATCTCTAGCTGTAACAGCCAGAACACGTTCTGGTGAATAGTGCTGGAGTGATTGTCCTCCAGAACAAGGCGTATTTTGTACGGATAATTACCTGAGTTTTGGAGAAATAATGGGTGAGGTTTTCGCTAAACTGGGATTCTGACTGGTTACTTTTCTAAAAACAGGATTTGAACCCGGATTCTGACGGGAACTTTCGGCAGAACTGGCAGTGAAACCCGGAATTGATGGGTAAATTTTGACAGAGCAGGGTACCCGACATAATCCGCGACATAACACGGATTATGTCGGGTAGCTTTGGCCCGATACCAAAAACCAAACGTAAGCCCTGCTCAGGAAGCTTCTCTTGTTGGTGTGATTGTCCACCCTTGTTGGTGTCTGATTGTTCCGAATTGTGTCACTGAACTGACCGTCCCGATAAATAACGAGAAACAGGGAAATTTCTTATTGTTTGTTTGGTGTAGCGTTTTATTTGCTTTCATAACCTTCCGACTGCACTCGTTGATGTTCTCCTTGCATTGCTGTACAGAACGTTTTGGAAACAAAAGAAGAAACTGTAGTATGCGCACTGATGATTCACAAAGCGACAACTGCAGAGGATGCAATTGGATAGATTGAATCTTGTAGATTTGATCACAGGATGCTGTCCTTTGCTTGTCCTTGTCGGGGTTAAGTGCATGTGCCTTTGAACTATCTGTCGCGGAGCGGCGTAAAGTCGTGCCTTTACACGCCTCAATGACGTGTCCAATCTACTTTCTTCGAAAAGCGCACCCATGCCGGAGCTACAGATCATAGCGACTCGGCTTCTCACATCAGGTTGTGCAACCTGTTTTTGTCGTATTTTCGTGTTTTTTTTTTAAACCATGATGTGCACAGATAGGTGCCAAGGACCTTGTTCCAGAAAAACCACATCTGACACCATCCTAAATCCACGCCGAAGGGTCTACGCCACGGTAGTACTTAGAGAGTTGTTGGCGGCTAAAACACGAAACGTATAAAGACGAAGTGTTTTGTGCACAGTAGTTCAGCAGGCTAGACGGTGTGTTTTGGGGCACACTGACCGTCTCATTCGACGGTACTATTCGGTGGTGGATACCCTGGTCACATCATAACCTTCCACCACACCACCCCACTCTGTCCTTCGCCAAAACCCCCCCACACAACCCCCATTGCCCCCGAGCCAAGACAGACTTTGAAGGTTGGAGCGAGCCTGGGCGAGAAGAAGGGGAAAGCAGTTTCCCTTCGACACCGCCGCTGATCCCCACGCACAAAACATGTCTTTTCCCTATGCTGAAATCCGCCAGCTTTTTACTCCGCTGGCACCGGCTTCTCCCAGTCGGTTTGAGAAACTGTCCAGCTCAGCCCAAACTGCGGATGTGGGTCGCGGGGTGGCGGATACAGGGAAGGGGAGGGGAAACGCGCACACCGAACCGAATTTTGCCAGCAGCAACAGGTCCGCGCGACAGGTGCGCGCAACAGGTGTGCCAGCCCCCCCCCACCCCCCTCCCTCCCTGAGCCACTCCCCTCAGGCGGTTGAGCTCACTCTGACAGCACAAATGCAGGGCGGGTCATTCTGGCCAGCTTGATCACTCCCCTTCTTCCTGCTCGAACAGCTGTAGTATCTAGAGTTGAGGCTGGGTTTCCACAATTTCCCTAACTTTCCTTCTGACATCGAAGCTAGCAGTCCTAGATTCCCCTCGCTCGCCCGCTGTCAGGCACACTTTCCGGATCAACAGCAACGATTGTTATCTCTCCTGTTTCCCTCCATTCCTGGGCAAGTATATCGCCAGCTTGTAACAACCTTGAAGCGTCAGATTCTGCAGAGCCGAGCTGCAGCAGCAGCTGTACTTCTTTCACCGTTTAAGACATCGCCAGCAGCTGCGAAGAACTTCGTTTTCACGTTAGAAGCAAAGTCTCGAAAGAAAATCGCCATGGCCTCCACCGTCGCGAACCGCCCTCGAGTCCTTTTGCCCACTTCTCCCATCCACCGCCTGTCGCGATCAAACCCATCCAACTCCTACGTCGACACCCCTGCCTGCCCACCTTTTGCCGACGATGCTTCCGCCGCTACCCCCTCCGCGGGCGCTCCCAATGCAACTCCCGCAAGATTCGCGCAGATCGACCGTCGTCTGGCGATGTGGAACCGCGCAACGGCCGGCGCAGGCGCAACCGCTACCGCTCGCGCGGGCCCATGCGGAGTTCCGCCCTCGCCGCAAGCTGCGCGGCGCCAGAGTACTGGGGAAGTCGCTGCCGCGACGCCGCCCCCCCCGCGCGGCGGCAGCTTAATTCCGCCCATCCGGTCCAACAGCAGCCCCGCGATTCACCTCGCCAATTCCGCCAACCACGCGGCGACGGTTTACTCGCCCGGCGCGGCTCCTTCCAGCAGAGCGTCTGCGAATTCCGTTGCTGCTGTAGCATCTCAAGATCGCGACGCAGCATCAAGTGGAGCCTCCTCGCCGCCGTTTCCTGCGAGCCCGAGCTTTACGCGCTCGCGAAGCGCGCATGTGAATGGGTGTGCCGCGGCGGTTCCCGGGTCTCCGAGCTGTCCGCGCGCGCCGTCGAGAAGCCTCGGCGAAGCCTCCGCGTTCAGCTTCGGAAGAACGGTCTCTGGAGGCGCGGCGGGTGGGCCTTTTAACACCGGAACTGCCTCATCCGGGGTTGAATCTGTCTTCCAATGGGCGGCGAAGAGACGCATTGCGAATCGGATCAAAGCGGCTGCTAACTGAGTTTGTTGGACGCACAGGGCGGCACATTGGTCGGTGAATTTGGCGAGCATCATGGCTGTCGCGCGCCGTGGGACGTTTTGCAGTAGCTCCTTTTTGGAGAGTTCAATTGGGCCTTGTCCCCGATGTCTCGACCTGAGCCATCATCAGGATGTCTCTCCCCAGCAGACTGGACCTGACACGACCCTTAGCACGAAATGTAGTATTTTTTGCCTTCCACAGCATTGTAGAGCGTTGTGTAATGGATATATGCTTTGCATTCTTTCATTACATTGATGCTCCAGAGGGCTCAACAATATATGCTACATAATTTCCTCCGAGTTGCCTTCATCTAGGGGAAAGGGATCATGAGTTTTTGGGCGCATGATTTGAGATAGTTCTCATAACATACAGCGCACCCTGCTGTAGGGGTATGACACTCAGTGGAATGCCCCTGGATCTGCCTATTCGAATCGAAGCCTCTGATAGGGTAGATCAGACCACGTGCGAGGAACAGAAAATCCAAAATTGATACACCCAATCTGAAGTACGGTTCTCCCAATCCAGTCTGGCGAGTGCCACTAAACACTGGGCAGCCTGAAAAAATGTAGAGAACCTTGGAAACGGCAGGAGGTTGTCTGGAAATTAGATCTTGTTCAGGAAGTTTGTCCATCCACGAAGTTTTCCCACGTGGCCCGGAATGTCTAAAAACACATTTCAATGTTTGCACAGGCGATTCGAACTTTGCCCATGTTATAAGAAATTTGCCCATCCTGCGAAGTGGGCACACCACAAAGTGCGAATACATCCCACGTCCGGGGTTGGCAGACAGTGTCGCGTCCGACTCTGGCACGACTTGACGCCTGATCGTCACGGAACCTTACCGCAACTGCCCACACGGCAGAAAAAACTTGGCGGGGGCAACTGGAAAGCCCACCAGCTCCAAGCACCGTCGAATATCACAATATTTAAATTGAGGTCAAACCGAACAGGTGTCGTGGCACTGGGATAGCCTTGTCGATCCTCCTCTATCTCTAAGGACGGTACTAGAGGGAGGCTTTCCCTGGGGAAGGTGGATATATGGAACATAACCCTTCTCATGACCTCCCTTCTTGTCCAAGTGGTTAGAACTGGTATGGCTTGATATCAGAGCGATCAAGGGTTCAATTCTTGGTGTACATGCTATCCCTACAAGCGAGGGTGTCGTGGCACTGGGATAGCCCTGTCGATTATCCTCTATCTTCAAGGGAGGTACTAGGGAGGCTTTCGTTAGGGAAGATGGATATATGGAGCCTAACCCTTCAGAGGACATCCTTTCTTGTCCTAGTGGTTATGATTGGTGACTTCATAACTCCAAATACGGCCACGTATACCGTCTTTCTTTATTCCAAAAGATAGGGCTGTTGGATTTGCTGGATGCCCGGCTGGGCGTCAGATGGGTTTTACGTTTGCGACTCCTGATTTCATCGTATCTTGAGCACGCGATTGTGTTTTCGGGGCTTCCTCATTTGGTGCGAACTTTGTCCGTTCACCTTTTTTTTTTTTTTTTTTTTTTTAATCTCTTCTTCTTTTTCTTCTTTTTTTTTTTCTTCTTCTTTTTCTTCTTCGTCTTCTTCTTCTTCTTCTTCTTCTTCTTCTTCTTCTTCTTCTTCTTCTTCTTCTTCTTCTTCTTCTTCTTCTTCTTCTTCTTCTTCTTCTTCTTTTCTTCTTTTCTTCTTCTTCTTCTTCTTCTTCTTCTTCTTCTTCTTCTTCTTCTTCTTCTTCTTCTTCTTCTTCTTCTTCTTCTTCTTCTTCTTCTTCTTCTTCTTCTTCTTCTTCTTCTTCTTCTTCTTCTTTTCTTCTTCTTCTTCTTCTTCTTCTTCTTCTTCTTCTTCTTCTTCTTCTTCTTCTTCTTCTTCTTCTTCTTCTTCCGTTCGAGGATCGCCAAAGTAGTCATACGAGGGTTGAAGTCGGATGGGCAAACTTCGGTTTTCTAAAGTTTGCCTACAGAATTGCCCAAAAGTAACCCAAAGCTACACCAAACGTTTACTATTCGTGTAGTTTACTACAGAATTGAAAATCAAATTTAGTTTGGAATTCTATACCAAACGTCTACTATTCGTTTCGGTGTTTTTCGAGTCAGGAAAATCGACGTCAGATTTGGCAGTGCTCAAAGTTTTTGTTTGCGTAGAGTCTGCCATGCTTAGGCAGTAGGAACAAGGGAATGCTGTCTATGCACTCAGAAATGGTCAGAGTGGAAAGAAAAATTTCTTTTGCCGCCCAATTTCAGGGTGTAAAATTACCGCGGGCTAGGTGTAACGAGGACTTGCTTGCCTTCTCGTGATGCACTAATTTCGTTCCAGACACCAATCACGGTTTTTACGACGGGAATGCTGCTGCTGCTGCCGCACTTCTTGCTGCTGCCACACTTCTTGCTGCTGGCATTCCATCCAGGGCTTACCTTTGGATTTTTTTCCACACGGCAGATCCGGTTGCCCCTCAAGGGACCCTCTGTTCCCACGGGTGTACCTTAAAAGTCACACGTCAGAGTCACGGGTGGGAACAAAAACAGCCCGTCAGATTTGGGAGATTTTCGTAACTCAATATGTTCCAGTTGAAAGGTTCTGTAAGAACGAAACACACAGACTTCACTATGTAAACTCATGCTTCTGTTCTCACTCTTATGAACCGCCATCCAGTCGAAGGTAATTTCGTGATTATTGGACGGAAAGGGACGTGGCGAGGGGGGCTGGCAGGGGCGCGAGGGAAGAGGGGGACGAAGGGGTGGAGGAGGGGGAGGAATCGAGGGGTGGGGGGTAGGTAGGTTTTTTTAGAGTTAAGATCCGTTTGTGCCAGAGGCTTACCCGTCAAGTCAGGGTACTTCGAAAAACGAACATGTCACTTCACGGGTATTGCTAAAAACGAACCCGTTAGAATCCGGCTCCAGGGAAAACGAACACGTCAGAATCCAGAATGGGACGGAAAGTCACCCGTTATTTTGTAAAACTCGGGGTATCTACCTGTGAAAAATCAGCCCTGATTTCATCCTCCCATCACTGTTTATTCACACGAGCCGCACAACTGTGTTGCATGGAGTGGTGCGCGCCCACCTGCCCTGCATCCACACCGTCCAGCAAAATTCGACGTGCTCTGACGTGGCACGCTAAGGAGTCGCAAAAACCGCCAAGCTGCTTTGCGCTCAACCGCCAATTTCACCACTGCGGGGCACCCGAATGTTGATCTCATCTCCCGCCTCATGGTGCTCAATAAGTGAGAGTTCGTTCGCTGTGCACAAATGTGAGATCATATAATTTATTCGCCAAGCTGGCCAGTATACTCAGTATTTGAACCATTCGCTCAACCATTTCATCCTGGGACAACAATGGCAGGAGCAGACTGCGTTCGATCCCATTCCACACCGTCCTCGCCAAGTATTCGGCATCAGCAAGAGCTGCTGGCCTCCCAGTCCACGGCAAGCATTCTAGAATCGGCTGCTGCCTCTCCTGCCGGACGTCCAACCCTCGACTCGAATTCGCGACGCTCGCTCGAAGTGATGAGACCGTCAATGTCAGCTCATTATGTCGCAAGAGACCGCAGCAGCAGCCCGGGCTATACCAGCGGCGTACGGCAAAGTCGCATGAGCTCGAGCGTCGGGAACGGTAGCAGAAGCATGAGGGATAGCACTAGCAGCGTCAGCAGCATGGGTTTTAGCCAACGGGCGGAGAGTCACGATAGTGCCTCCCTAAGTGCGAGCATTCGAAGCAACGCGAGCTTTTGGGAGTCTTTGTCCCATGAACCCGCAGCGTCTACTTGCACGAGTAGAGTCAGTCCACGTCATCGCACCGAGTCCCGGCTACAGATGTGGAATCGCGCTACATCCGCGTCCGCCGCTGTGCAGCACACTGCCGCGCTCTCCCGCCTCTCCCGAACCTCTACCGGCAGCAACTCCGGAAGACTCACCGGATCTGGGCCGCTTACCGGGACTGCGTTTAGCGAGACCAGATCTCTTACCGGGACAAATCCCCGTCGGCCCGGATTACGAGTGAGAGGGGGGGACGGACAGCCACAGCTGGTTCGATCCTTCAGCCTACCCGCGCCTCGTCTACAGGCATCACTCTACCCGGGGGAAGCTTCCCCGCTGCGGACTCTAAGCGACCCGTGCCGCGTGTCCTCCGCGCTCTTGGAAGCCGCGGATCGGCGGACGAAGAGTCGCGCTAGAATCCCGCGGTCGCGCAGCGCGCACGTGCTCGGATCGCCCGGGGTGGAGGAGCTATGGCGGCAGGCCATGTGTCGGGTGATATATGTCCGGCCGGGCACTTGCACGGGTTGGCGGTTCGAAGCACCGGGGCACAGATTGGCGGCCGAAAGCCCACGTGGAGTCGACTCGCAAGATTCGCAACAGCCGTCAGCTGACGTGGCGCGTCGACAAGCTGACGGTGCGGCGGCGCAGGAGGATGCGGGGAATGCGGGGAGGGTGGCGGGTTTAAGGGGAGGAGCACGGCTCACGGCGCAAGGGGATGCGGAGGCTGGGATTGGTTTGGGGGCAGCAGCGCGGTCGATGGCGCGGATGTCGGGGAGTCTCGGGCAGCGGTTGGGCAGCGGTCGGGGAGTCTCGTCAAATCCTGGGCCCACTTGTACCTGCCAGTCGGTCGGTGGGAATTCTCCGGGTAATTCACTCGAGATTTTAGGACCGGCGCAGCAGCGGGAAAGGCAGCAGCAGCCTCAAAGCACAGGGCTTCATCAGCAAGGAGGAGGGAGTTCGGGAAGTTATTCTGTCTTCGCTTGGGCTGCGCAGAGGAGAATCATGGCGCGACGGGTCGCGGCAGCGCATTCGTAAAGCCAGCCTCTTCACTAACTCCATATATGGGCACCACGCGGATATGGGCTGGGCACCAGTTGTATTTCGCATAAAATCAGCTGCACGCAAGAATGGTGACGAAATGCGTGAGAGTGGTTGCACGCAAGTTCATGTTTCTCGTTCAGCAAAATTTTATCAAACATGAATGAGGTTTTAGAAGGATGGGATCTAGTCATGAATATTATGGTTTTCCAATGTATTCCACCAAGTGTATATGTGACCGGTTCCGCTTGAGCTGGACCTGTCTCTCTAGCGGCTTGCCAGCGAATGTAGCTGATGTTGGGCTCAGCGACGTAAACGACACGGCGAAGATCGTCGGCGGTCGGGTTTTCCCGCGCCTTCTGGAAGTTTTCCCGCCAGGAATAGTTTCGCGACGCTTCGTTTCTTCGATTGTTGGTAACCAGCACCTGCGTCGAGGCATCCCAGCCACATGATTCCCTCCTGCCTCTTCCCCACACCACAAGTTTCAATCTACCGCTTCAGCCCAGCCAGCCAACGCCATGTACATGCCTGCAGCTGAACTGAACTTCCGAGTCATGTGCATCGAGGGATGAGTCTGGACTCCAGCGATCAGCAGCAGCCGCACCAAAAACTGCCATGCCTACTAGCTCACACATCCCAAAGCTCAGTTCCTGTCTCCTTTCGCTGTGGCAGACCTAGAGGTTGTTAGTCACAGGATTCCTTCTTAGCAGAATAGCGACGGTATTTCGTGCAAGAAATCTTCCTGTTTGGCAGGGGCTGAATTTGTTTTTCATGTTTCTTTCAGACTTTTCGATTGAGAATAGTATACTCTTAGATAGACTCTTACAAGGTTGCTACTTGTTCGAGGGACGAATTCCGGTATTCAAACCCTTAGGTTTCATGATCGTGTTTATTCGCTGGTCGGCGCAGTCATTCAGGCTCGGCAGGCAAGAACCTGAAAGGTAGCCTGCCTAACGTCTAAGCACTGCTCTACCAGCTAGGCGTTACCAGCGAGGCGTTACCAGCTAGGTGTTACCAAGACGACGACCCTATCTTGACGGCAGATTGGAGCCGCGTAACAAGCTATAAGAGCCGATTCTGCAGATCCCGAGGGTTTGATCGTGCTGACTAGGCATTGCTGAAGTTACCAGCTAAACGTCCAGCTAAACGTCCAACTAAGCGTTACCGGCTAAGCGTTACGAGCTAGGTGTTAGCAATACGATCCTATCCGGATGGCAGACGCCGAGCGGCGTAACAAGTTACAAGAACTGATCCGTCAAAAGAACAAAGGCCGGCCAGGATCGTCGCGATATGGCGACGACGACGAAGACGACGCCGGTGGTTACCACAAGCATCAGTTTGGTTACAACGACGACGACGACTTTATAGACGATGACGATGGCGACGGTTACGGAGACGGGTATAAGGACAGACGGGGAGGGGGAGGGGGAGGGGGAGGCGGAGGAGGAGGAAGAGGAGGAGGTAGCGGTGGGGGGAGAGATTATAGCGGGAGTGACAGAAGAGGGCGGGACGATTATGACGGTTATGGGAACGGTCGGGCGGAGAGAGGGGGGCGAGGTGACGGGAATTCTCACGGCCGTGGGGATTCGACAAAGAACGGAAGGTGAGATGACTTTTGAGTCGACTCAAAAGGTGGACGAGACGACGGAAGTTCGCACGGCGGTGGGGATCCGAAGAAGAACGGAAGAAGTCCGCCATAGATCAGGGAGAGGAAGAGGAGGAAGAGGTTTCTTTTTCCCCATATATGGACTGTTTATTCAGATTCGGATGAATTATCGCTAGTTATCACATAATCCCTTCCTATCTCGTATCGCTCTGCGTCGCCGCTCGATCCTCTCGCGATTGAAGCACCTGGGGCTCTTTTTGAGTCGACTCAAAAATCATTTCCGGGCTGCAGAGGTTGGCGAGGCGATTGCCAGGACCATGTGTTTGTAACCGCCTCAAGAAACCACCCAACATCCCTTCTGGTTTCTCCCGATTGCAGCAACTGGGACTGCTTCTTCGGGCCTCAGAAGGTGGCGATCGCCAGAATCCTTTTTCCGAGGCCCTCAGAGTTCAACCCCACCTCCCGTTTTATTCCCCCCCCCGATTGCAGCAACTGGGGGTCCTTCTTCGGGCCTCAGAAGGTCGCGATCGCCAAGACGGTGGTTGACGCGGAGAGGATTCGCCGAGAGGCGCAAGCCATGGCCGCTCGCGAGGCACAGCGGAAGACAGAGGTAGGGTGTGTGTGGGGAAGAAGGTGGGGGGAAGAAGGTGGGGGGGAGGGGGGTGAGGGAGGAAGGGCATTAGAAGGTGGTGGTCGCCAGAATGGTGGTTGACGCGGAGAAGGTCAGAAGAGAGGCACAAGCCATGGCCGCTCGCGAGGCACAGAGGTAGAAAGAGGTAGGGTTCGTGTGGGGAAAGGGGGAGCTGGGGGGGGAGGGGGGAGCAGGGCACTAGAATCTGGCGTTAGCCAGGAAGTTGGTTGATGCGGAGAAGATCAGAAACGGGGGGAGGCACTAGCCATGGCCGCTCGCGAGGCACAGCGGAAGCGAGAGGTAGGGTTGTTTTGGGGAAGAAGGGGCGGGGCAGGTGGGGGAATGGGAAGTAGAGCATCGGAAGGTGGCGATCGCCCGGACGGTGGTTGACGCGGAGAGGGTCAGAAGGGCGGCACAAGCCATGGCCGCCCGTGAGGCACAGTGGAAGAGAGAGGTAGGGTTTGTCTGTGGGGGGGGAGGTAGGGATGGGAGCAGAGCCAGCACAGCAGGGAGACCTGGGGGGGCGAAGAAGTCGCCAGAGGCGGCTAAACTTGATGGTTGCCCACTGTACCCTCGTGGTTACCCCCTACCCGTCGCTTGCCTGTTCCCTGGCAGGAGGCGGAGAAGGCGCGGAGTGGCAGCAAGGCCAGCGCGGCAGGGAGGCCTGGAGCGGCGAAGAAGGCGCCAGAGGCGGCCTACCGGGAGGACAGGAGGGCGTTTATGGCCGAGGTGAGGGGAGGTGGATGGCAGCGGTGAGAGGGAATGATTGGGCAAGTTAGGTGCGTTGTCTTTTTTTTTTGGTCGCTGACCGAGATGACAGGAGAGCGTTAATAACTCAGGAGGTGAGAGGGGGGTTATTGGACAGGTGAGGGAGTTTTTGGTACAGGTGAGAGGGGTTTTCTGGTAAGGTGAGAGGTTTTTGGGTAAGGTGAGAGGGTTTTGGGTAAGGTGAGAGGGTTTTTTTTGGTACAGGTGAGAGGGGTTTTTTGATACAGGTGAATGCCCTGTCTTTCTTTAATCACCTACCGAGATGACGCGAGGATGCTATTTGCTGAGGTGAGAGGAGATTATTGCAGAGGTGAGGAGGGGCTGAATGCTCAGGCTGAGAGCAAAGAGCAAAGTGCAGATAAGAGACAGGGTATCTTCCCCCTCCCTTGAGCTTCTCCTCTCTTCTTCTCTCTTGCTGCTCCTGTTCTTGCCGCCCCTGCCCATGTCGGGCCATGCCCACCCCACCCCTCCCCACACCATGCCCTGCCATGCCCTGACATGCCCCACCCCACCCCACCCCACCCCACCCCACACCATGCCCTGCCATGCCCCTTGGGTGCTGAACAGGAGGAGGCAAAGCGCAAACGACTTAAGGAAAACCGGGACTTCTCCTTCCTCTTTTCAGCCGACCCCAAGCAGAAACCGCCTCAGCAGCAGCAGCAGCAGCGTATACCACCCTCTCGGGGCCAGACCACCCCTCCTAGACCGCATACAGCGCCTCCTAGATCACTAAGCACACCCCCGCTTGCTAAGGACCGCTTTAAGGACCAGCCACGTCAGCAGCTGCCTTCCAGCCAATCACATGCTGCCAAGTCCGCCAAGCCTCTGCCAGGCCGCACCCCGCCGCCAGGCCAGCAGGCTCGGCGGCCCATGCCTGCTACCGGATCTGACGGCCAGGTTCGGCGGCCCGTGGCTACCTCCGGACCAGATGGGAGGGGTCGGATGGAGGGAGGTGGGAGGAGGGTGGAGGAGGCTCGGGACGTGGAGGGACGGTGGGATGAGAGGGATAGAGGGAGGGAGAGGGACAGGGGGGGGGAGTTGGAGAGGGAAAGAGACAGGGATAGGGCGAAGGATGGTGGAATGGGGAGGCCGAGACACGAGAGCCATGTGCATGGGAGCGGGCAGCATGGGAGCTGGCACCACCACTCTTATAAAGACGGGCACAACGACAGACACAACGGAGCGCAGAAAGACGCTTACAGGGACGGGCACAGGGACAAGGATGGGCAAAGGGACCCGTACAGGGATGCCAGGGATGGGCTGAAGGACAGAAACGCGGCGAAGGATAGGGATGCGCATAGGGACAGGGACAGGGACAGGGGTGGCATGCAGAGGGACGGGGAGGGGCACAGGGGCAGCATCAGCCACAGCGGGAGCAGAGCCCAGGAGCAACGTCCCTTGAGTATACCGGCTGGCCCTGGTGTGGGGAATGGGGGGAGAGGGGCGGTGAGGCCTGGAGAGGGTAGAGGGGCGGCAGGAGGGGGAGGAGTGGGAGGGAGAGGAGGCGGGGGCGGAGGAGGAGGGGGGAATGTTAGGATAGGGGACATTGTGAGGAGGGATGGGGATGACAGGAGATTGGAGGGCAGGGATAGGGGAGAGAGAGGGGTGCATGGAGCGCATGGCATGGGTGGACGAGGAGGGGGCTATGACGATCGGCCGATCAAGGTATGCTCCCGGCTTGCCTCCAGTCGATTCTATCCTAACTCCCTACACTCAGCTCCTTCTCACATTTGCTTCTCCTCACCCTCCTCCTCCCCTCCCCCCCCTCCTCTGCTCAGTGCTCACCATTTTCTTCCTCTCCTCTCCCCACCTGTCCCCCCCTCCTCCCACACCCTCCTCCTCCCACACTCTCCTCCTCCCACACTCTCCTCCTCCCACACTCTCCTCCTTCCACTCTCCCCTCTGCTCTCCAACTTCGTCCTCTCCTCTCCCCACCTGCCCTTCTCAGTAACCCTCATCCTCCCCTCCCCTCCCCTCCCCTCTCTTCCCCCCTTCTCCCCCTCCCCCTTTTCCCTTTCCCCCATGTTCCTCCCTTCCCTACAGAAGCCTCCACCTGGCTCCGCTCCTCCCCACCGCTCCCAACCCCCTCCTCCTTCCAGCAAACCTCTTGGCTCTGCTCCGGCCAGACCTGCTACCGGCATGGCTCGGCCCAAGCCAGGGATGGAGGTTCGGAGAGACCCGGGCCGAATGGGAGCACAGAGAGAAGCAGATAGGGCCCCCCCTAGGAGAGATGGAGATAGGATGGGGGGGAGGGGAGGGGGCGAGAGGATGGGGGGAAGGGGAGGGGGTGAGAGGATGGTGGGGAGGGGAGCAGGGGATAGGGGTTCGGGTAGAGGGTTACCAGTGAAGAGGAGGAGAGAGGAGGAGGAGGATGAGGAGGATTCGTTTGTGGTGGGGAGTGATGAGGAGGAGGAGGAGTATGGGCGGAGGGGAGGGAGAGGAGGCGGATTGCTAGGGAGCTCGATCCTCAGCATGTTCCGGTAAGGATGGGGGGGGCTTGGAATGGGGGGGGTGATTTGTGAGGTGCCTCAGGAGGAGTATGGGTGGCGGGAGGGGGGAGAGAGCAGGTGGATTGCTGGGGAGCTCCATTCTAAGAATGTTCAGATAAGGCGAGATGCGACCATGGGCCTCAATAGGAGGAGTATGGGCGGATGGGGGGGAGAGGAGGCGGTCTGCTGGAGAGCTAGGTCCTCAGCATGTTCACGTATGGAAGGAATGGGTTTGTGCGGTGAGTGGGGGTGCTTTGGTTGCGCTGCGTCCAGCATCCTACATTTGTGCTCCCTCCCTCCCTCCCTCCCTCCCTCAATCCCTCCCTTTTCCTCCCCTTTCCCCCTTTCTTCTCTCAGGCGCAACCACCGCGAGAACCACATGGGGCCGGCTTATGACAGCGATGACGATGACAACATGGAGGTCGGGTTCAGCCAGTTGATGGCGGAGGAAAGGAGAAGGTGAGGGTCGGTCAACTCAACGTGAGAGCCGGTCAACGCAATGTGAGAGTCGGTTAAATCAAGGTGAGTCGGTTAACTCAATGTGAGAGCCTGTTATATTATATCCATGGGAGGCGAGAGAGATTGGGTTTTGCCAGGTGAAGTTGTCGATGTCAACATGGAGGTTGGGTTCAGCCAACTGATGGCGGAAGAAAGGCGCAGAGGAGAGCCTTTTGAGAGTTGTTGGGTTTAGAGGAGAGGAGGAGGTGAGCAAGGCGATGACAACATGGAGGTTGGGTTCAGCCAACTGATGGCAGAGGAGAGGCGCAGGTGAGAGCTGGTTAAATCAATGTGAGTCGGTTAAAACAAATGTGAGTCGGCTAAATAAATGTGAGTTGGGTAATAAATGTGAGTTGGGTAATAAATGTGAGTTGGGTAATAAATGTGAGTTGGGTAATAAATGTGAGTTGGGTAATAAATGTGAGTTGGGTAATAAATGTGAGTTGGGTAATAAATGTGAGTTGGGTAATAAATGTGAGTTGGGTAATAAATGTGAGTTGGGTAATAAATGTGAGAGTTTGTCAAAACACTTTGAGAGCCTGTGAGGGACTTTTGAGGCGCCTCAAAAGTCGTCACTTTGAGAGACTGTGAGGGACATCTATTGGAGGCGAGAGAGGTTGGGTTTTGCCAGGTGAAGGTGTTGATGACAACATGGAGGCCGGGTTCAGCCAGCCGGTGGCGGAAGAAAGAAAAAGGTGGGAGATTTTGTGTACTTGTCAGCCATGCATCGTCCGACACTCCTTGCAGCGCAGTGATCGCTCTCAAGGAAGATGCAAAAGAGGCAGAGCTACGCATGTGAACCCCCCCACCCCCCTCCTCTGCTCCCGCCCCTCTCACCATACCCCCGCCTGTGCCTGTGTGCTCCTCATTCATTCCCTGCAGCGCTCTGATCGCTCGCAAGGAGGACGAGCGAGAGAGGCGAAGCAACTTGTGTGAACCCTTCACCTTCTCCCCCCCCCTTTCTCCCGTCAATTTCAAAACCACCCTCTGTCTGTGCCTGTGTGCGTGCTCCTCATCAACCATCCCCTGCAGTGCTCTGATCGCCCGCAAGGAGGACGAGCGAGAAGTGGAGCAACTTGTGGGAACCCCCCCCTCTTTCAACATCACCCCTGCCTGTCTGTTTCTGCGTCCTCATCTATTCCCTGCAGCGCTCTGATCACCTGCAAGGGGGATGAGGGAGAGAGAGAGGCGAGGCAACTTGTGTGAACCCTTCCCCCCTTTTTCCTGCCCCTTTCAAAATTCCCTCGTATGTATCCATTCCCTGCAGCGCTCTGATCGCCCGGAAGGAGGACGAGAGAGAGGCGGAGCTGCTTGCAAGGGAGGAGGAGGAGAGGGCGAGGAGAAAGAAGGCCAAGAAAATGGGCAAGAGTTAAGCTGAAAGAGGGGGTTGAAAGAGGGTCTTTGGTGACGTTTGCAACTTGAGTTCATTTGAGTGGTACCTACACTACATCGTTGAGTGACGGGTAAAGGAAGAGGAAGGGAAGGGAGCAAGAAAGGGGAAAGGGGAAGGGGAGTACTGGATAGGGAATAGAAGGGAAGGAAGAGGAGAGGAAGCGGAAGAAAGGGGCAAAAAGGTTTGCAAGCATTGAAGTGGCATGAATCATGATCTGCCATGTGGCTTGAATCAGGATCTGATTCTGTCACAGCCGTGTCAAGTCGAGTCGCTACGATCTCGCATTTTTATTTCTCACTTGTGGCACCTGGTTGCGGTGGAAGGATCCGGGTCCTGGAATGGCAGCCTGATAGACTTCTGGTATCCAATTGCCACCTGATACGACATCTGAAGCCTGTCATCTTAGAAGCAATGTGCAGTAAACTGCAGAGATGAATGTGATTATTCCTCACTTCAACCCAACATTCAAGCATCAGTATGCCTCACTTCAGTGCTGTGCTGCAACCGAGGTGTACACTTAGGTTGATGGTCGGATTCGAAGAGCGCCTGAACTCGGTCACTAACCATTGAGTTAAAAAAAAGCTTGTTAATAGCGGGTCAGTGCGACCCTAGCCCCCCAGGCTCTGCATCTGTGACCCTTCCTCGAAGATCTTCTCAAGGGTAACCCCAGCGGGTCTCTCGACACCCACCCTCGCTGAGATAGACGGAGGACACGAGCACCTATGCAGCGCTAGCATTGGGAATTGAACCCGAATAACCAACGCTCTGATACCATGTTAGAACTCAGTCACTAACCACCGTGTTAAAAGGGCTTGTTAATAGCGGGTCAATGCGCCCATAGTCCCCAAGGCTCTGCACCTATGGCCCTTCCCCGAGGATCTTCTCAAGGGTAACCCCAGCGGGTCTCGTGACAAAGAGTACTAACAGCCAATGGGAAGCAGTTGGAGCAAAGTGCGTGACAAGTGTAAGAATTTGTAAAATGGTGCAGAAGACTATTGCTGCTGAAAATGTTGTGGTTGTTGCTGTTGCTGCTGGAACTGTAGTTGCGCTTATTGTTGTTGTTGCAAAAATTGGAACTGCTATTGTTGAAAATGTGTAAACGCAAACGAAGAACTCGAGCTTGGAGCGGCTACAGCTCTTGCATAATTGTGTTAGAATAACGCCATAGACTAGATTATCCTATACAGGGAGGTTTTGTGCTTTGGTGTTGTAACCTCTATGAGCATGCACCTATCTAGCCTGTACCATGTACAAATATATGTTGTTGACACACCCCCTAGGCTAGACAAGGAACGATGGGCAAGAGACACGCAGCTCAGGGTGGCACTACTAACCTCTGAGGCAAGGGACTCAAGACCAGTCACAAGAATACAAACAAGACGAGCAAACCAGGGCGGCACTACTAGTCTGACCACTGGAGCAAAAGCCACAAGGCCACTCAGGAGAATATAATAAGAGTAGTACACAATTAAGCGCCAGCAAATGGGGAGCTACTGGAACTAGACCAAGCTGTACACAGTGTCACTGATGATCTTTAGGCGCAAGCGCCTTAGTAAAGACATCAGCTGTATTGGCACCGGAGGCAAAGTGAACTACGCGGATCTGGCGACGCTGCAGCAGCTCGTGCAGGAGGAATCACCGCAGCTGGGTGTGCTTCGCTCTGCCCTCCAGTCGAGGCTTATGACACAGGATGATCATGGCCCAGTTGTCAGCATACAAGACCGGGGCAGAGCTAGGCTGCTGACCTAAGCCTGTGAGCAGGAACGCCAGCCAGGGGAGCTCCTATGCCCCCTGGCACCAGCGTAGATCTCAGTGTCGCAGCTTGACAGTGCAACAGACGACGAGTGGGTGGACCTCCACGAGACCGCGCCTGCACCAAAGCTAAAGCAGTAGCCCTGAGAGGACATGAGCGTCTCAGCGTCGTCGGCCCATAAAGCGTCTGTGTGCCCTGTCAGGACCACTGGCCTGCGTCCTCCTAGCACTAGCCCCATGCCCGATGTACTTGCTAGATAACACAAAACCCACTTAACTGCCGACCAGTGATGTGGTCAGTGTCTGCCTGTTGCCACGAAGCGAGCCAGGATGCTGAGAGGGTATGCAAGATCTGGACGAGTGCAAGTCATTAGGTATATGAGGTAACCCACCAGCTCTGCGTACGGACCACTCGGCTCTACAAATTCCTCAGGGACTAGAGTCGAGAGCCTGTAATCTACTTGCAGAGGTGTGGACTGCGCGGAGGAGAACTAGAGACCGAACCTCTGAAGGACCTGGCGCACCAAATGTGAATGTGAGAGAGTGATGGTGCGAGCTGCTCTGTTCCTGGAGAAATGCAGCCCAAGGTAGCGGCACGGCTCTCCTAGGTCAGTGCAGGTGTGTCTTCTCAGCAGCTCAGCCTTCACCAAGGCCAGAGCGTCTCTGTTTGCAGTAGCAAAGACCTGGTCGTCTACGTAGATAAGGATGTAGAACAGGGTCTGTCCCGAACGGACGAAGAGTTAAGGGCCCGCATACGACGGGAAGAACTGTAAGTCAGCTAACGTAGCACGCACCATGTCGTTTTACTCACGGGGCGCGTGCCGCTGGATGTAAACTGGGCGCCGGAGGAGCCAATCGGTCCGAGAGGCGAAGGGACGTAGGTGTTGGTGGGTCTCCAAGATGCCATCTTCGTGTCCATGGAAGCTATCCACTGAGAGGCCCAGGGTCCCGAGGTCGCCTCAGCGTAAGTGCGAGGGGTTGGGATGTCAAAGGCATCTGGGTCACCCTCAAGGACTAGTGGCGCAGAGATGAGGCGCGGCCTCGAACAAGAAAGCGAGCTCATACTGCCGGTCCTCCATGACGTAACTGCCAAGGGCAAAAGCACCCTTGACAGACGGAGGATAGACAGGGTCAGAGACCAGAGCGGTGGCATAATCAAGGCGGCGGGTAGAGGCAAAGTTAGCAGCGGCAGCGACAAGAGCGTCAAAACGCGAGACAGGAACATATAGGTCGGTAAGGAGGGATGCAAGGACTCGAGGAACAAGAAGACTAGCGGCACGAAGGTAGTCAAACAGAGGAGGTGAAGCGACAACAAGCGACGATGGGGGAGGCGACAGGAGGAGGGGAGGACGAGGCGCTTGGGAACGAAGCAACATAGGGTGAGAGCGCTGAACAAGAGAGACAGGACGAGACCGAGAGGGACGGCGAGACCAGAAGCGGGACGGAGGCGTCGGGTCAGGAGACACAAGAGGAGACACATGAGGAGAACGATGGGGGAAACGAGCCGGAGAGGAGTCCGACAGCGGAAACACAGGGCCGTAGACAGGCAGGGGAGGCAGCTGCGGGGGAGGCACAGGTGGGTGGTAAGGGGAGGGAAGACTGAGGAGGCAAAGGGCGGACATCGGCGGCGACTGCTGCTGCTACTGCTACACTCCACGCCGACACCAGAACCTCCAACCGCACCGCGACTGCCTCCGGGACACTCCACGCCAACACCCCTGGAGCGAGAACCCTCTCCAATACCAGGGCCATTACCAAGACTGCTGGGATGAGCCACGTCAGTAACCTCATGACTTGCACCCCAAGATTCAGCACCTCCAAAACGAGAACCCTCTCCAGAACCGGTGCCACCACCAGGACCATTGGGACAAGCCACGACAGGGACCCCAGGACTAGCACCCTCCTCAACGCTTGCACCCCCAGAGCTCGCGGGCCCTTGCGGCAGGTGCTGCTGCGGCTGCGGCGATGGCGAATGCTGCGATGGCGGAGGGGGAGACACCGAGCGGAGGCAGACGGCAAGAACGGAGCCGCGGGGCCACCAAAGTCAGCCGACTCCTCGACCGGGAAAACCGACGGGAGGGGAGTGACGTGAGACACACCAGATGGGGCAGGACGGGGAGGGAGAGGAGCACGGGCTTTCGGGGGGGTGGGAACTAGAAGCATGGGCTTGGAAACTGGGAGACCGCGCTGGGGAAAGCGGTGGTAAAAGGGGTAAGACTCGTCAAAAGTGACGTCACGCGAGTGGAAGAAGCGGTGGGATAGCGGGTGGTAAAAGTGCCTGTCAGACGCGTCCAGGAGGAAACCGAGGAAGACATAGGGGACAGTGTGGGCTGTGAGCTTGTCCGTGCCAGAGGCACGAACGAGAGCAAGGCACCTCCATGACCAAGCCGGTGCATCGCTCAGCGACCCCATTCTATTGCGGGGAGTCTGGCAGGGTGTACGACTAGGTGATGCCCTCCGCACGACAGAACTGGCCAAGCCGACCGTAGGCGAACTTGCCGCCATAGTCGGAGCAGAGACGTTGGTGTGAAGGAGGGCGAAGCAGTAGCGTCCGCTGGCGGAGGGGCTAGCGTGGAGCCTAGGCTAAACAAGGCAGGGGGTCCTATGCCTGACGCAGCAGGGGAACCTAGACCACACATAGGGGACACACCTACACTAGGCAGCACCGGGTAATAGGGTCCAGTCACACAAGAGTCATCAGCATACATGGCATACAAAGCAAACATAATCTGATCCATGTCCATCTCAAAGACAGGCACACGATGACGCACCAGGCTGTACCAGTCGAGGGGGTTCGCCGTGTGGCCGAAGTGGAGAGGTCGTCGAGGGGGCGGTAGCAGCGCGCGGCAGTGTCACAGACGGTGCTGCGGTGGGGGGCGGTCTGAAGCTGGTATTGGCAAGTGACCACACTGGAGCCGCCACCCGACACCGAGATGCGCCCCCCACTACCACCAGCACCTCCAGTCTTCCACGGCGACTGCTGCTGCTGCTGCTGTAGAGGAGGGAGTGGAATAGCGTGCAATAACATCTAAGTAAGCCTACGCAGTCTCTAGGGCCTGGTAGCGAGGGCGCTCAGACACGGGGAGGGCGCAACTGATAGCAAGCTGTGCAACTGCATTACGCAACCCCAAGACGGAGCGAGCGAGCTCAGCAGCTGCAAAGGCCTCACGCTCAGCGGGCGTGGGGGCGTCAGAGAGGGCAAGGGGCAGGTCGAGGCAGGGGATCTTACCGTTGACGTGAACGGCCAGAGACTGGCCATCCTATCGCTAGCCCCTCAGCGAGTAGCGGAGGTTGGCGAGCCATGCGTCAAAGTTGATCGCCCAACCCTCCGCGTCCAGACGGAGCACAGCGTCCGCCATCGCCACGGCTGCAGCACATGACCGCCGCTAGGGGAGGAGGAGGAGAGGGCGGTGGAGAGCAGTGGTGGAGACGGCCGGCGGGAGCGCTGGCACAGAAGGGGGAACCAGGGCCGGCAGGTCGAGGCGGCATAGCAGCACGGCGGCTTGGCGACTCGCCTACTCGGCGACGCAAAGGCTCGGATACTCGGCGGCTCGGCGGCACGACGGCTCGGCTACTCGGCAGCTCGGCGGCTCGGCGGCGCAGCGGCGCGGCGTGGCGCGGCTCGGCGGCGTGGCTCAGCGGCGCAGCTCAGTGGCTTGGCGGCGCAGCTGCTCGGCGGCATGGCACAGCGGCTCGGCAGCGCAGCGCGGCCCGGTATGGCAGGGCCGGCGCGGCGTGACGGGACTGGCGCGGCGTGAAGGGGCCGCCGCGGC